CTAGGTTGTACTATATTTTTAATATAGTGGTTATTCTTATTTTAATGTGCCTGGAGGACATCTTGGAAGGATTAGTTCAGTATCTCCAAACTCAGCCTAGATCTAACAACCTGTCCCAAAGTTCTCCTGTAGTTTTCTCCTTTATTCAGAAATCTTCTTGTCATGCTTCTGATATGGCGATGGAGTAGGTTATAAAAGTTTTCTTGTATCCTGGAAAAAACACCTATCTCCTAGTAGTTCACTCTTGAAATTTGATTTTTTTGGGGTTTTTTTTGTTTGGTTTGTTTTTTAAAGATTTTAATTTTTTTTTTTTTTTTTTTTTTTTTTTTTTTTTTCATGTTCTATACACATAAGTGCAAATGAATGGGCTGGTGGGAAACTTCAGTTATTGCCAAGCTGAAATGAGAGTCTTGAGTACTAAATACTCTACTCTTGCAAATAGTAGACAACCATAGAGCAATTTAATATGATGTATCATTGCATGCATGCTGAAACTTCATTTTCCCTAAGTCTATTTTGAATTTGAAGGTGAAGAATGAGAAAGAAGCAGAAATGCACTTTAGACTATGGAAAGAACGCAAATAGTATTTCACAAAAGGACAGCAGTAGGAAGAACAATTAGATTTTTTAGTGACTCTGAAGAACGCCATGGCAATCTCAGTGGTTACTTTAAAAGAATACCAGAAATGAGTTGACTGCTATACTGACCCCTTAACCACACAGTGTGATTTTTTTCAGATAGCTTGCAAGAATATGCTTGAGCCACAATGCATACTCCTTAATCAGTGTCATAATTTTCCCCTTTTCCCCAACCACGTGTAAAAGAAACTTCAGCATCTGCCACGTAAATGTTACCCATTGACGAACCACTGAAAATTTTTCCAGGACCACACTTAAAGAAAGATGCTTTCGAGGGATTCCCTCGACTAGCCAAAAAAGAAGCATTCTTATCTAACACTATCTTGTCTAAATATACACAGCCTGTGATGACGAAATAAAAAATTTCAAGACCAGGTATAAATACCACTGACAAGCAGATGAAGTTCATTCGTCTTCTTTCTTCTAATAGAAGATATAACTATTAGAAGTTGAAGCTCACTGCTCTTAGAACTGATATCACCCAGAACTTATCAGAGCATTTTAAGTGAGCCATCACACTGAGAAAATGACTTGCCAGACCTACAGCTTCTTTGTTCTGTCTATTGTCATGATTTATTTTGGACGTTTTGGAAACAGCTTAGTTCTTGCTCAACTTCAAAAAGATATAGACCAACTGAAAGCTGATTTTGTAAGTATGGTCTTCTACTACATTTCTCTTCTCCTTCTGCTTGTGCTTTAGATATAGTCCAGATTTGAGCACTGCTTGACATACTCAATGTTTACCAATAGAGGGTAATAATTGAACAGATTTTTTGATTATATCTTTTTTTAAAACAAGAATGTGGGCAATTTCTTTGGGTTTTTTTTTCAAATCCCGTTCACTAACATGACTCAGTTTTTCAATAGTCATAGTTAATGTAATAGTTGGCATTTATTTCATGGGCACTCTTCCTTTCACAAGAGCTTCTCCTAGCTCTATTCAGCCTTTGATTACATAGAATGTTTTATAACAAGAAATATTAATATGATTTATGATGAATGAATGAATCTTGATTCGGTTCTATTCAGATGCAATTTGCTTACACTTTTTAAGTTTTAGGTTAGTAATGTTAATAGGGGATATAATAGCAATATAAACAAAATGGAGAGAACTTCTGCTTTAACAAATGCACCTGGCACTTATTATTAGTAGTAGCAGTATGCTGGCCAAAGGTGGTTTCTACTGCTTATTCTTTTGTCTCCTTCAGCCATTCTGCTTCCATGTCTGTGACTAAGATCCAGTGTGGGAATGTTATCCGGCATGATATTACTTCTTTTCAGGCAGAATTTTTTTTAACTTTATAACTGTAATGTTAATTCACCTACTTTCATCTAGGTAGCATTAGAGTAGCTCAGAGTTGCCTTCAGGTGGAATTAGTCATAGACATAACAGATCTATAATAGAATAACTTCTAATTAACAGCTTTTATTCTCAGTATAGTTTTGTTTTTTCCTTAAATGCATGAAAGCAAATGCAAAATTCTGCTCCTATTTCCAGCCCTGATTTTGTCAGAATTTTGTGCATACAGAAGTTGAAATTTAGTAGTCAAGGAATCACCTTGGAGTGTCACACAAAACAGCCTAGTGTGCTACTTCAGTGTTTTCAAATTGCTAGGAAACCAGATGTGAAATTTGCGTTATATCTTAAACTTGTCATCAGAGTAGATCAGAGAGCTTCTCACTAGAATATATGTAACTCTGTCGGAGAGATCCTGAGCCATGGGGAGCTTCTTGCACTGATACTAGAAACTCCGGTCCACAGCAGGTGCTCCCCACCTTTGAGAAGAACAGCAAAATAAGATTTTGTGATGTGCGCAGCACGGGGAGCCAATCAGCCTACGAGGTTTCTGTCAGACTTTGCACTCACTATATTTAAACTACTGAGCAGACAAAAAGGAAACAGTGACTGTTGTATATAAAAAGAAAAAAAAAAAAAGACACACAGAGAAGAGGAAATGATTCAGTTTACCTCTCCTTAGTAGGAGAATTGTATTGCTCTTTGTTTCCTAGAATCTAGCGCAGTGTGGCTAACAACCCATGGTTAAAATCTATCCCTGCGAGCCTCTCAGTAGTCCACTACCCCTCTATATCTCTACTCCTGACTGTGGGCTACTGGGCTGTTCTCCAGCTCTATGAACTGCAGTTTTATAGTGAAGTTAATTTGTTCTTGTTCCAAACGAGATTTTACTAAGACTGGATGAATTCAAGGCCACAGACTGCATACTGGTGGGCTTTGGCTTACCAGAAAACATGCCAAGATCGGATCTGACAGTTTTCCAGCCAGTCTTTGTGCTTATGAACTTTAATTTTCAGCTGCAAATACCAAAACTCACAAGGAGTGTTTAGGTAAAATAGATGGTACTAAATGTCTCTATTCAAATGAGTTACAGCAGGAGAAGACATTGAAAAGCAGACTAATGTCGTTTCTGGTACTAGGCAGTCATCCAATGCGATTTAGTGCTTAGAGAAGTGAAAGCATTATAATAGCTAAAGGACAGTGTTGCAAAAATCACGCCTCTCCTGTTTTTATCGCTCATTTGAACAGAAAATGCAAATTTGCCTTGTGAGAAGTATCGTTTGTATAATAGGTATGTTTGTTCTTTGTTGCAGAACTCAAGTCATTCAGATGTAGCTGACGGTGGGCCTATTTTTACAGACAAACTGGCAAACTGGACAGAGGTGAGTCAGAACTAGATATGACAAAGCATCTCAGGCACTTTGCGAGGCACTTCTGGTGCAAAGCAGCTCCCAGGGCCAGTGCAACCAGCTGGGGTAGAATGAACATGAGCAAAGGCTGCTTCGGTAGCTTGAAAATGAGAAAAAAAATCCTCATAAAATGCTTCCTGTAAGGGTCAAGGTGCTTTATACTGCACCATGAACCGACCCTGAGGTACAGCCAAGCCCAGGAGATGAGTTGCAGGATCTTCTTTGTCATCCTGTTTCAAGCAGCAGTGAGAACCCCTGCGTGCTGCAGTTTAGCTTCGCTCATTTTTGCTGCCGATAGGCCCTCACAAGCCTTTATTTCTGATTGTTTTTTTCAACAGAGAAATGAAAAAAGGATCATCCTGAGCCAGATTGTTTCCATGTACTTGGAAATGCTCAATAAGACTGACAAGTCAAAGGCGCACGTCAGACACATAGCTGAGGAGCTCTACACTCTGAAAGATAGCATTGGTGATGGCTCAAAGAAGGTGGAAGACATGATGTACCTAGCAAAACTTCAGGTAAGGCTCTTCCTCTGCCTCCAAGGCTTATGACACGATATTTTCCAGTTGAGATTTGAGTGTGACTCAAGCCAATAATGGTTCAGTAACCCATCTGGTAACCCCTGTTTGGCTCACTTCATGCTGGAAAACCTAATGTTTCCAGCTGCAGGGGCTGCTGCGGGTCTGTGGTGTGGGGTGTCAGTGCAGGGGCCGCCCTCCCTGGGTCTTACCGGAGTCTGGCATGGAGGTGCTGGCAGCGCTGCTGTTGTCATCATCTGCCCACCAGAGCTGCCACTGACACAGCTGTTTGTGGTTTAGAAATCAGGTGGGAAAGTTGTGCCCCGGCTACAGGCATGCCTCCACAGGCTTTGGAGGGGCTTGGCTTATCTAGCGAGTGACAACGGCACGAACCACCAACCTCCACAGAGTTCCACAGCCAACACCTCGGTGGAGTTAGCTGCTTGTGGGCAAACTCATATATCATCACAGTAACCACTGTGTAACTCCATTTTACAGAATATGGCTGGTCTGTGGCATGTTGCAAAGCAGCACAGGAAGTGGAAAACAAAAACTGTTACAAAGTGGCTCTTTTTTGTAGGAATTATGTAGTAGAGTAGTTGGAAAGTGCAGATGTCCATCTGGTATACCCCAGTAGCAGTGTAGCCTGTAGGATGATCAGTAAACAGTTACAGCTCTTGGCATGACCTTCATTCTGTTTCTTTCTTACTTATAACAGATGAGTGACTCGAAAATTCAACGTAAAGCTGTGAATGAGCTGTTCAATGTCTTACACAAACTGGTGGAGACTCCAACTTCTACCAAAAGGAAAAGGAGCCAGTCGCAGCGGAGGTGCAAATGCTAATGAGATCACGTGCCCTTTTGTACTGAGTTATTGTGCAAATTTTGTTATGATGCACATTTTTTTATGTCAATCTTTTAATTGAGTTTTTATACATTTATTTATTAATATTTAAGTATTTTAAATAATTATTTATAAAGAAACACCAATCCAAGTATTTATACCTCCTACTAATATATAGAAATGACTTTGTCATAAAATCCTGTCTATCTGTTTTATGTTTGTTGACCTGAAAATACAAAATGAGGCAATGTTTACACAGTTTCCATATGGAAATCCTGAAATGACATGATACAATATTCAGCTTTCCATCTGGTGCTGTCTTGAGAGAGGCATGCTGTTAGATTGGTCTCATCATTCATCTATTTATTGTGGAGGTGCAAGCATCAATAGGGGGAAATCTCTGTACTCATAAAAAACATCCAACTCAAGCAAATAGACCTGCTTAAAGATAAGCAAAGGCTTAAGCACTTTTCTGAACTAGGGAATTGATGGTTAATTGCTGGTAATTATTGTTATGCACCAAAGTTACCATGAGGCCAGGCTACTTAGCAGCTCCAGGAAATGTGACTAACTCTATTGCACTGACTTAACTTCAATTCACTGATTTTGAGAATTTCTGTATTTTTTTGTACTGAATCATTTAAGTGTGTCTGATGTAATTTTATTTATTTGGAGGTAGTAGTATAGAAGTTTTTATCTCAAGAACTATATTTTTGTATTGAAATATTATTTAAAACTTTGGATTTCTCAGTGGAAGCTTCTTGAAATTTGGAAATTAATTAATTAATTCTATAATAAATAAATAAATAAACAAACTGTGCTTGCATACTTATTCACCAGAATCTCTATGAAAAGTAGAGTATTGATCTTGCTGTATGTTGTCACAAGAGATGGCCCTGCCTAGATATATAAAAACATATTTTTATTTACTCTTGCCTGTCTAAATTTGGCAGAAGGGTCTAAAATTCCCAAGCTCCTCAAGTTCTGCTTGTATCTGAATGAGGAAACATTGTCTTACTTATGAAAAACCATTGATAATTTGAACTTTGTTGTTACTCTGATTTAAAATAAAAGGCACTCCCAAATTTCTCTGCAAGTCAAAGTTCTGAAGCCTAGATCAAGGTCAGCCTACCTGTTGGGCTCTCTGTGAGTGATAAAAGCTGGAGGTCTGGGGCTGCTCAAGTTCTCAGAGGCTTGGGTTTGGGCTTAGGTTTGGGAGCTTCCAAATTCTCGGGTCCTCAGGAGTTTACTAGGCAAATTATCTGGGGGCAGACAGGTTGGTTTCTATTCAAGAAATAGCACCCCACTGAGCCCAAAGTTTAGTTGTAGTAAGCCCACCAAGTTTAGTTGTAATTGTTGCAGTCCTTCCTACTCCCATGGGCCTGGCTGTCTCCCCTGCTGTAAGATACCTTCATTCATATCCTTGTTTTACAGTCATAACAAAGTGACTCAGTAATCCTGGAGACTTGAACTCATTTTGAAGGAAACAGCTGTTCTTGTTTGTACTCATCACAGGCATGTGTGTGTATGTGAGCTGCAAGTGAAATAACCCTGTGGGATGTCTCCTGTTCCAGGACCAAACATAAGAAGCCTCAGCACGCATTTAACATGGGCAATGTGTCCTTCTTGAGGTATTACTTAAAAGAGGCTACCTGTCCTCCAGGGAAGCAAAGCCAGCTCTAGCAACTTCTCTTAAAAAAAAGAAAAGAAGAAAGAAAATAAAGAAAACTAAAGAGAAAGAAAGAAAGAAGGAAGAGGAAAAGAAAGAGAAGAGAGGAGAGAAGAGAAGAGAGGAGAGAAGAGAGGAGAGAAGAGAGAAGAGAGAAGAGAGAAGAGAGAAGAGAGAAGAGAGGAGAGAGAAGAGAGCATTTCTGTTCCAAGAAATGTCTTTTCTGCAAACAGCTTGGCATTTATCGCTCTTGGAGAGCAATTCCTGATGTCCAAGGATGAGATCAACCCAAGGCTAAGGATGAGAGAGCCATCCTAATCCCACCAATTTCAGGACAGCTGTGTATCTGCTACCTAAGGCCTGCATTAATGATAAAATTGGGACCACCAGCAAGTGTTATTGATGTGTTCCTGGATAACACAGCTCCAAAGGACCAAGCTCATCATTTAGCCCAGGGATTTCCCAATCGCAGCCCACCCCTCCCAGAGAAAAGGCCACACATCTTTTGGACATGAATACCCTAAATGACAGAGAAGCCTTCACAGCATCCCCATGGTTAATTCTCTGCACAGCTGATATTTTGAGGAGAGAGGAGAGAAGAGAGGAGAGAAGAGAGGAGAGAAGAGAGGAGAGAAGAGAGGAGAGAAGAGAGGAGAGAAGAGAGGAAGATGAAAAACCTAACAGGGAAGGTTAACCTTTCATTAGCCATTGGCAGTGAGACAGTGAGTCTTCTCACTACTCCTGATTAAATTAATACTCTATTTTTCCAATTTAAAGCCAGGACTGGTTAGGAGCTACTTTATTAGACTATAAACTGAAAAGTCTATGGTGCTTCCACACCTTGCCAAAGGGGTCTATGGCAAAACAACTAAGGCCATGGCTATACATCCAGCAGGCAGAGCATTAACTGATCCCTCCTGCCTTAGCTGTGGGTACCCAAGACTGTGTCATTTTCTGTGCTGTGCTGTCCCATGCATTTCTGCTGTTACTCTTTTAAATCTGGCTCAAAACAGCAAGGGTTGGGGGGGGAGGTTATTGCTCAGTCACATAATTTCCCAGGTTCTTCTCACCCTAGTGCCGACAACCAGAGGCAGAAAAGAAGAGAGGGAATGAGCAGCTGGGAGATGCAGTAGCAGCTGGTACTGCTGGCAAAATGTATTTATACAGTCTGATTTCAGCAGTTCGGTGGCTTGGGGTTGTTTGCTTCTTTTTCATGTCAAAGTATCCTTATTTCCAACTGGATTTTTTTAAAGCATCCTTAAACTTTTCCTGCTAAGTATGACACCAGACATTGCAGAGATTGATCAGTGCCATCATAGTTACCTAACCACTCAAAGGAATAGAAAAAATTTGTTTCTCATATTGGCCTACCCTCAAGTTTTCCCTACCCAGTGTAAGTCGGTGAGACTGATTTCTGCAGGGCGCTTAAGATAAACTGCTGAACTAATCATTCCTCACTTTACTCTGTTATTTGATGGCAGCGTTAGAGAATAACATCATAAAAAACAGCCTCCACAAGACCACATTTTTTCCCCTCAGTTGTATACCATACAAATGAGGTGAATCACTTTTAACATGAAAATGTGTCATCTCTTCTCTCACATCCATGGGAGTCCTGGATCTCCTCTTCTGTGTTATTCTTTGCTATAGCCAAGTGAGGAAGGCGTTTCCGGTTAAGCTAAATTTAAGTGTGAAATTAATTTTAATGGCTACCCTAAATATTTCCACAGAGAAACACAGCAGGAGTATTGGGCATTTTTACTGAGGGTGAGGGCAATTTTTTCCAGCTACGCAACCTGAAAAAGAGAGTTAATAGAAGTGCATGCACAGGAGTGAAAAGATATTATCTACTATGTAGTAATTAAAATTAGAAAGGGGAAAAATCAAAAGAAAAGACAGGATTGTCTCAGAAAGTCACTGTGGTTTATGTATCAGTTCCGCAGCATATTGTTTCTGTCCTTACTCTTTACTCCTGCATATTATCAGCACTGATTTTTATCTGCCATTTTATCGCCTTGTCACTCAGTATTTTGAAGTCCTTTAACAGTTCTTTGCAGCTGGACTTCCTCTCTGGTATCCTGAATAACTTAGTACATTAGCAAACTTAATTATGAATATGAATAACTAAGTTAATATGAATAACTTAGTACATCAGCAAACTTAATTATTTCACAGCTCACCTCATTTCCCAAATCGCTGATGGCTGGTGGCCCAAATTAAACAGCACAGGCCCCAGGCAAGCCCTCTGAACCTACTTAACTGCAAAACCAGGCACCGATTCCTACCCCTTATTTCTGATCTTTTAACTACCTGTATGTTTATGTGAGGACTTTCTTATAATGTAATGGCTTAAATTCTTTGGTAGCTTTATGGTGAGCCTCAGCTGAGATTCTTTTGAAGGTTCAAGGACATGATGCTATTTGGCTCCCCCTTGTCTGTATCAGTAAACTCTAGTATAATCATGAAGTGTCACAAATGTTATGTTTACCATCCTCTTGTGCACCACATTTATCCATGGGCCCACTCTGTCTTGATGTTGCATGGTAGGGATGTCAGCTTTTACAGGTTTGAGGTTTTCTGGGATTCTCCTGAGGCTTTTTAGAAAATTAATAGCCAGCAAACCCACTTTGTGCATCCCTGACATGACTGCATCATTACGAACCCCTCCCAGACCAACAATCGGACTGGGACGTAACAGGGCAGACTCAAGAGCAGGTTATAGCCCCCACATCCCACAGTCTGCAGTTCAGCTGTTTCACCCTTGATTCCTGCAGGAGTCCTGGGTGAAGAATGACAGCTCAAATCTGTCCTTGCAGGCATCTTCCTCTACTAGTCTAACAATGACCATGGGGGTTTTTTGGTCAGTGGGAAGCAGGAATAATAAAAAACTCTAAGAAGGTCTGGAGGTGGATAAAACCCAAACCTGGCAGACGAGTGTGGGATTTTCAGCCCAAAATAGCTATTAATGCAAAAATTCTCACCTCTCTGCTGTCTTGTGTGGGACAGAGAAGTGATAACAGCAACTTCCGCAATGCATGGGATGTATGTAGGCTGCTGAAGTAGGTGAGGAACAGCATAACAGTCTAGCAGCAACAACAAATATGACTTCTGGGTGCAGTATGTAGCACTTGGTTGTGGTGCAATATAGCAAAATAAGACCATCCATCTTCCTGCTTCCTCTTTTACTCTTTTCTTTCCAACTTTCCCTCTCACAGTGATCAAACTCTTCCTGGGGAGTAACAAGGAAGGTCTATGCCAAAAAATTACCTGCAGAAGTAAGCAGGGTAATTCCTCAATTCATGGAAAGACCAGCTGTGGCTGTATGGTGGTCACATCATGTCAGAGGGAAAACAAAATGAAAGAGGGCTCA